CATTTATACCCCACTTTCGGTGTGGGGTTGCTAGATCTTAAATTCAACCCCTCTCCTCGCCCGGTCTACTCCTCGCTCATCCCTGGAGTCCCCAACCCCAGGGTGTCCCTGGATGCCCAACTCCGGAGTGCCCAACCCAGAGTGTCCCTGGAGTGCCCAAGCACGGAGTGTCCCCAAACTCCTGGCCAACGTGTCAAACCCCAGCGTGTCCCTGGAGTGCCCAACCCCAGTTGCAAGCAACAACTAAGGAAGCGCATTTGAATCAATGTGCCTTTGTTTGAGCATCTTACTTGCGTTCTTTCTTTTTAACAAGGACCAAGGTGAGGCTGTTCGAAGTAAAGTCACTTTGCTTCGAACATCTGAGTAGAGATGCTCTGGGGTTGGGCACTCCAAAGACACTCTTGGGGCTGGGCGCTCCAGGGACACTCTGAGCTTGGGCACTTTTTGGACACTCTGGGCCTGGGCATGGGCTGGGCACTCCAGGGAAAGTCTGGGGTTGGGCAGGGACACTCTGGGGTTGGGCACTCCAGGGATGAGCGAGGAGTAGACCGGGCGAGGAGAGGGGTGAGTTTTAAAATCTAACAACCCCACACCAAGGGTGGGGAATCAATTTAGTCAGACATCTGCTGCAAATACATAGTTATATGTTTACATGGCAAAAAAGTGGGGAGGGGATCAGCCAGCCTCGTCCATGGCGGCCGGTCGCGCCGCGCCCTCTCAGGGCCCCATGGCCATGCGCCGCACAGGCAGGCAAAGGCGCTAAACCCTGAACCTGACCCTAAACCCTAAACCCTAAACCCTGTAACCCTATAACCCCATAACCCTATAACCCTATAACCCTATAAACCCTAAACCCATACAGCCCTATACCGAAGCCATAAGCCCCACAAACCCTTGCTGAACCCGAAGCTCTTTTTAATCAGCCGGGCCCTGAACACTAAGCCCTAAGCCCCAAATCCTAAGCCCTAGGCCCTAAGCCCTAAACCCTACACTTGGCGGTTCATGAGTACTTAAACCCAAATTTCACTGTACTGATAAGCCCCCTAAGTGGTTAGAATGGGGGGTAAGAAGCACCCACGAACCTCCAAGTAAGCCCTACACTGACACTCTCTCCCCGCTCTATCCCGAGGGTCCGGCGAAGTAGGACGACAGATAGAGGGTTCAGGGTTTAGGGGTTTAGGGGTTTAGGGGTTTAGGGGTTTAGGGGTTTAGGGGTTTAGGGGTTTAGGGGTTTAGGGGTTTAGGGGTTTAGGGGTTTAGGGGTTTACGGGTTTAGGCTTAGGGTTTAGGGCTTTAAGGATTAAGGGTTTAGGGTCTCTGGCATCCCGGCAACTGAGGGTTCTTTTGTTTGAGGGTTTTTGTTGGCCACCCGGCCGGCACTGCTCCACGGGAGAAGGACTTCTTTTTTTTTTTTTTGGGGGGGGGGGGGGGGGGATTTACCCGGTTTAGGGTTTAGGGTTTTGGGTTTCGGGTTCAGGGTTTAGGGTTTAGGGTTGGGGTCTAGTTTTAAGGGCTTGGGGTTTGGTGTTTTGGGCGCATATTCCAGTAGAACGGGTCTTCTGGACATGTTCTTTGTTTAAAAAGGATCAACAGACAGGGTTCATATAGCTGTTTCCCAAAATAAAGGGGTACCCCTTGAATACCCCAAATAGAAGAGAACCCCTTAAAGGGAAACCCAAAATGGGTGCCCCGATTTTCGGAAACCCCCTGTTTTTAAAAATCATCCAGGTTCCTAAATAAACCCAACACCCTAAACCCTAAACCCTAAGCCCTAAACCCTGAGCCTTAAATGACACGCTTGGTCCGATAAAAATGGCAGCTGGCAGCTTCCCTTGGCCTCACATCGATCCAGGGGTTAGGGTTAGGGGTTTAGGGTTTAGGGTTTAGGGTTTAGGGTTTAGGGTTTAGGGTTTAGGGTTTAGGGTTTAGGGTTTAGGGTTTAGGGTTTAGGGTTAATGGTTTGGGGTTTAGGGTTTACGGTGTTCGGGAGGCTAGAAAGCAATTCAAAGCGGGCAAAACACATGCACAGGCTAAATCAGGGTTGAAGGTTTTGGGGCTAACCTGCCTCGGCAGCTGACCCTAAACCCTAAGCCCTGAATATCAAAAGCCAGCAAAGGCATTTGTCAGTCTTGGGAAAGTCGGCGACTGATGACTTCGTCGCTTGGGCGTTTTTAGGGTGTTTCAGGGTTTTGCATGTGCAAGGAACGGAACGCAGATCACTTGCTTGTTTGGGTCAGGGGTCGTGTTAGGGTTCACCCCCCCCCCACTCCCCCTCACTGTCCCAACCCCGGACCCTAAACGAAAAATCCCTAAACCCTTAAACCTAAACCCTAAACCCTAGACCCTACACGGCCCGACACTCTCCTTTTGTCTCCCCTTTCCCCCTTTCATTGGCGATGCGTAGTGTACGCGGGAACTCGCAACGGAAGCTGCGCTGGTAGAGTCGTGGGCGGCCCTGGCACAGGCAAAGGGTGCGGGGGCATGCTCATGCGACCCCTAACCCCTAACCGCTAAACCCAACTGTTGGATGGCATGATTCTTAGCCTTTTATACATGGCATAGGCTCATAAAACCCAAGGGCCCATACTTCAGAGTCCTTTAAAGAAGTATAATTAAGGGACCATGAAACTTCCCTTAGGGTTTAGGGTTTGGGGTTTCGGGCTTAGGGTTTAGGGCTCTGTCAAGCGTACCCTGGGCACGGTCCCACCCTAGGCTAGTTTAGGGTCGCGACAGGTTTCTGGGGCCCTTTCTTCCGACAAGGAAGGTCAACAGCAAGACATCGACTCACCAGTTCCTTCAGCAACACATTCTCAGATTTCTAAGGGCCTTACCCTAAAACCTAAACCCTAAACCCTAAACCCTAAACCCTAAACCATCACAAAGCCCCCTGGCTTGCCACATGTGGGAACATCCGGACCTGGCTGTCTCAGCCCCTCACCCACAAACTCCTGCGCGGATCGACGCCCCTCGAAGCCCCAACAAGACTCCAAAGCCCACCCCCTAAACCCTAAACCCTAAGCCCTAAACCCTAAACCCTAAACCCTAAGCCCTAAACCCTAAGCCCTAAACCCTAAACCCTGAGAAACACCCCCCCCCCCCCCCCCTCCCCATACGCGGTTGTCCCAGTTCTCAAAACATGAATCCTAGGACTATCGTGTGACCACTTTAATGCTCCTTCTCTTTAGGGGCTGGGGAGCCAAACTATCCTGACAAATTCAAATATCAGGGTCCTTATTGTCACAGAACGTGTGTTTGACTCCCAGCGCGCCACCTTCAACTCTTGTAGAGATCCATATTCCTTTTCTTGTTGAGGGCTTCCGGGCTTCAGGCTTTTTCAGGGTCGTGCGCCTTGACGGCTCAGAGCTTTAGGGTCCATCGGTCTTCAGGAGTACTAGGGTTATGGTGCTGAACTCGCTTCTGTTTCCAGGGCCAGCCTTGAACACATGGCCCTGGACTTTGCAAGGGCGGATAAGCCGAGCCAGAAACCTTGGCCAAAAAAACAAGCAAAGTGGGCACTCGCTGAAGCCTAATTGTGAGCCCCTTAAACCCACCCCTCAGCCCCTAAAACAGCCTAGAAATCGCTAGAAACCGCTAGACCCTACGCCCGAAATTCCCTAAACCCTTTTCAGCCCTAAAGCCCTACATAGCAGCCCTCAGTCTAGATATCCCATGGCTTGATAAGACGCTTTCTTTCTGTCCGGACTGTTCGCAACCGGGACTCAACACCCAGAGATTTGGATTCGGGCTGAGGGTATCGGGCGAAGAGCCCCAAACCTACTTTCTGAAGGCTGCCTAAACCCTCAACCCTGCACTCTAAACCTAAACCCTCTTGCTACGTTTCTTGGGGTTGGAGTCTTACTAGGTGGCACCAACAACTAAAATCGCCTCGGCTTCCTGCCCAGAAGCGTCGCAGACCCGGATCGGGCCTCCCTTCCCCCTAACCCAACCCTTCCCTCCCCCCCCCCCCCCACCCCCCCCATTAACCCCTTTAACCTCCCTACGACCCTTCCTCCCCTGTTATTTCAAACCCTCTTTCCGGTAGGGCTTCGGGCTTCGGGCTTCGGGTTTAGGGCTTCGGGTTCATTCAGGGTTTAGCGTTTTGGGTTCTAGGGTTTTAGGGCTTCAGTGGATGACAGGGGGTCAGGGGCCGTGCTGGGGGTTGGACAATTTTGTTTCTATAAAGGAGGCGCGCTGGTCTGAGGGTGCGACGGATGCAAGTGATGGATGCGGCTGGAGCGTCCTTGTAGTGACTCCCGTGGCTGTGGCTCTGGGCTTTGCTCTTCTAGGAGGTTGCAACCGAAGTCCCCCAAACCCTAAGCCTTAAACCTTATAAAATTTAAACCTACACCCTAAACCCTAAACCTCAAACCCTAAACTCCTGATCACTGTCACCCTGCCCCCTGCATCCCTTGATCACTTGACAAAACAATCCAAATTCGCAAGGAAGTCCAGGCACATGTGGTGCCCCCCCCCCCCCCACCCCCAGACCCGAAGCCCTAAACCTGAGCACGACGCAAATCTCCCGCATGGGCCTCCACAATTAGACTTGGGCTTGGGGGGGTTATTATGGTATTATGATAAAGGGACCATAAGGGACGATTAGTAAATCTTCCGACCCGTACAGGAGCCCCAATCGTGCCACTTCAACATGACTGCAACCGAGCATCGATGCAGAAGAGGGCAGACTGACCTGGAAAAGGTTGGGCAGAGGGTTTCGATAGTGGGTAGGGTTTAGGGTTTAGGGTTTAGGGTTTAGGGTTTAGGGTTTAGGGTTTAGGGTTCAGGGTTCAGGGTTCAGGGTTCAGGGCTTAGGGTTTAGGTTTGAGGGTTTAGGGTTTAGGGTCCAGGGTTCAGGGTTTGAGCTTAGGGTATAGTATGTTGGGATGCATTGGGATATATTGGGATCATTAGGGGAGGGGAAGGGGGGGGGCGGGGGCTGTACTCCACCACCCAGGCAGCCCCCACGAAGCCGCAAACCCGACTTACAAAGGTCATCATAGCTAGAGGATGTAGGCAATGAGAGAGGCGCAAACAAACCTGCGAGTAGCGAAGTGGGCAACAGCCTTGACCTGCGAGAAGCGAAATTGGAAACAGAGCTGGGTGACAGTTTCACTCACTTCATGCAATAAACACTAAACCGTGAACCCACCAACATGAATAGTGCGACAGGCAAGTTGAGTTGCTGAATGGAGTCCGCGTGCCACCTCTGCCATGCGTTCAGCTCTTGCAAATCCAGCAACATCTATGTTTTATAACAACTCTTCAAGAAAAAACAGTAATAAGTCGCCCTAGCAGAAAAATGTCACTGTCGTGGCTAGTTTTAGGACGCGTAGTTTTCCAAGGGCGGCTGGCGAAGCCTGAAGCCGCAAAGCCGGAGTTTTGCTCGGTGCGAGCAAACCCCTATAAACCCAGACCCTGTGCCCCTGAAACCCTAAACCCCCTAAACCCCCTTCTTGAACCTGGAAGCTGCTTCATGCCAGGACTCAGCACCGCCCTAAAGCCCCCCAAACCCTAAACCCGAAACCCTAAACCCTATAAACCAGTCAATCAAATCAGGGATCCCTGCGGAGTGGTTCATGCAGCTAAGCGGGTGCCAAAAGAATAACCTACAATAAACCCCCTAAACCCCCTAAACCCCCTAAACCCCCTAAACCTTGAACTCCTCCAGGCGACTTGCGGACCGAGCATTGATGGAGCCGGTGGAATGTGCGAACCTGGGCTGCGGACAATGGACGATGCAAACCTAGCCTGGGACATGTAAACACCCTGAACCCTAAACCCGAAACCCTAAACCAAAAACCTTAAACCCGAAACCCTAAACCCTAAACGAAAAACTCAGGTCTGCGCTTGATGGGGCCGGCTGGAAGGTTGATGGCCTTGCAGCCTCGCGGGTGTCCTGGAGCTTTACCACACCCGAAGCCTGAAACCATGTCGCCTTCGCCTCGTCTAGGGTTTAGGGTTTTAGGGTTTTAGGGCTTTAGGGTTTTGGGGTTTTGGGGTTTTAGGGTTTTAGGGCTTTAGGGCTTTAGGGTTCTAGGGTTTTAGGGTTTAGGGGGGATCACGGCGCCCTTTGTAGCCAAGGCCTTGGGCTTTGGTAGAGACCCCGCAAGCGCAAAACTTTGTGATAAAAGGGTACAGCCAACCCCAGAACCCTGAAGCACCCAAAACCCTAAGCCCTGAAGACCTAAACTCTTCAACCCCGAAGCCCTAAAACCCTTAAACCAGGCACCCTAACCCCAAACCCTAAACCCCGAAGCCCTTAAACCCCCTCAAACACTCAAGGCTTTCAGGGCCTTCGAGTCTTGGGGACTAAAGTCTGAGGCTCCCAATCTCGTGCTTTGCTTCGCGCAGCTATTTCAGGTTCAGCTGAGCAAAAGGGTCCAGGGTTTAAGGGCTTAGGATTTAGGGTTTGGGGTCAACTGGTCTAGGAGTAAACTGCTCAGTTTAACAGGAGAAGGAAGGTTGTTGGCCGTAAATCCCACACCTTTAGACTCCTTTTGGGAAGCCTCGATTCCCTGAATGCGGAAACTCGAAGATGTGGTGTCCTGGGACATGGTGTTGCCCACCTTGCGCACGATGTTGTTCAAGCTCTCCTGGGTAGATTTGGATTGAGGTTTCGTGTTTAGGACGTCTTCCATATTCCTAAACCCTAAGCCCTGAAACCCTTTTGCATCCAGGCCTCTTCGTACACTGCCGGGTAGGAACATATCTAACTAAGCCTACCCTTCTTCTTTGCATCCTAAGCCTGAAACCCCAAACCCCAAACCCTAAACCCTAAACCCTAAACCCAAAACCCAAAACCCTAAACCCTAAACCCCCTCAACCCTCATCCCCAGGTCGTCTCTTCCCCGACTCTCTGGAGCGAAGGCGTCGGATTTTGCTTCCCTATCTCCCAGCCCCCGTACTAACGGGGTCGGAATAATTACTATCAGTCTTCCCTCATGGCCCGTTTATCATTGTACTATAATCTCCCAAAGCCCTGTTCTGATTAGTAAGATCGAGCACCCCACTGCGCCCTATGGAATGCATGACTGAAGGAGCTGAAGTTATGGATTCAGATTCTGCCAGCCAGACTGGGTCTACGCACACCCATTATTTGTACGCCACCAGATGAGCGCGAGGCAAGCGCCCATTCACTCATGTGGGTTGATGGTTTAGGGTTTAGGGTGGCTAGGGTTTAGGGTTTCGGGGCACGTCGCTGAAGTGATCTGGTTCTTCTTGAGGACACACTATGCGGCAACCGTGTCACCCCCTCACGAACGGGATGAAGGAGGACAACTCGATTACGGCACCAAAAAAGGATGCTTTGAATTAGTTCCCTGATACTCCCCCTACTCCCGAAACCTCCGTAAGCAAGCTACTTCAAGATTCTCTATATGGGTACCTACCCCGCCATGAACCCCCCTCCCTTAAAAAACCTACAATAGACGCCCCGTTGAAGAGTGTTAGAGTCCAATTGCGTCGAGCAGCTCGCATGTCCTCTGAAAACCTCAGGGCGCGGCCCAGAGCATTCAAGAGCGCCCGGCTGTCGTTCACTTGGCAAGTACGAGAAAGATGGGCCCTCTGGGGTACCACGGAATCATGGTAGAGGATTGCAAAGAAAGAAGCGTCTAAGAAGCGCACGCCAGCTTGCTTTGGGCAGGTAGCCACAAACCCATGCACATTGCACCAGTGAAGACCCTGAAACCGTGTAGGCCAGAACCGAGAAGCTTCGAACTGTTTTTGAAAAGAGATTGTTCTCGACACGAACCACCTCAGACCCGGCAGGCATATCTCGCCCGGTCGAATAACCCTCCGAAGGAACTGAGAACCCCAACAGTGCAACGCTTCGGAGAATGAATAAACAAGGGCCACCCTTTTGCTTCATAGGGTGCTTTTGCACCACTGCGGCCTATGAGTTGCCCGAAACCCTAAACCCTAAACCCTAAACCCTAAACCCTCTACCCTATACCCCAGAGGATGAGATCAGCGGAGCAGCAAGGACAGCTGTACTCCTGGGGCGCTCGAAGTGCTTTGGGGCAAATACCTGGGATTCCAGAGGCTTCTGCTGAAGACGGTTTAGGGTTTAGGGTTTAGGGTTTAGGGCTTAGGGTTTAGGGCTTAGGGTTTAGGGTTGTAAGAACCCACCAAAAAAATAATAATTCCTTTTTTCTGCCCTAATAGGGAAGAATGTTTTTTTTTGTGGTGGGTCTTAACCAAACACAGTACTCTTGTTCACGATGGTTAATTTTCTAGCCATGAACCTCCTCAGTATCGAGAATACTTACCACCATGAGAAGACTTGCTCCATTATGATAGTTTGCATCATAAACCCTAAACCATATACCCTAAACCCTAAACCCTAAAGCCTAAACCCTGAACCCCACATCCTGGCACCCTGGCGCCCTGGAAAAGGTTGGTGCTTGCGGTGGCGACTTGTGTTGGGCTTCATGTTGCGCAGGGTACGAAACTTTAACACAAGTAGGTCGAAGCTCTTTAACTAGGATGGCCTTAAAAAAACCGTGTATACCAACACCCTCGGGTTTACGGTTTAGGGATAATTACTAGGAAAAAACTTGAGGGAAGCTAAACCCCCCCAACAAAACGGAATAAACTGGGCATCCCAGTGAAATGTTCGAGTAGCCCGGTAGCCGTATTATAATTCCCTTTCTTAGGTTGGCTACTTTATAAGGGAGCCCCGAACCAAACAAGTGTAAAGGGTACCACTGGGCTACCAGAGAAGGAGTTCTGATACGTAGAAGGCAGTTTGCGGTAGATGTTCTGCAAGAACTTCAACCAGCACTCCAGAATACTCGCGACCACCTACCCCCTTGTGCCCTCAACCCAGGATCCCCACCCACTGCCCGGCCAAAGGTACTCAGGGTCGTCCCTATACCCTAAACCCTAAACCCTAAGCCCTAAACCCTAAACCCTAAACCCTAAACCATCAACCCTGGCCAAAGGTACTCAGGGTCGTCACCTTGAAAGGTTGGCCTGGCGGCCTCTCCGTTGCGGAACACGCTGAGGTTGGGAGGGGAGTTCCTGAGCTGCACGGCCCCAGGAGGGGAGAGATCTACCTGCAGGGTACAGGATGCGAAACCCTAAACCCTAAACCCTAAACCCTAAACCCTAAACCCTAAACCCTGCTTTTCAAGGGCGAAGGGAGTGTTCGGGGATCCTCTAACAGCTCCCCCCAGGTACAGTGGGCTTGGAGGATCCAAAAACCCTAAACCCTAGGATTTGGGTTTAGGGTTTAGGGTTTAGGGTTTGGGGTTTGGGGTTTAGGGTTTAGGGTTTGGGGTTTAGGGTTTAGGGTGCTCATATTCTGCAGATTTCAATTTGTGGAAGCGAGCTTTTGATCGCCAAGCCCAGTGCTCACGCAAACTGGAACCGGGAGGCAGAGACCACGTGAATGTGTGTGCATAGGAAGGGTTATGTTCTAAAAACACATATGTCCTGAACAGTATGAAACATGGAATCAAGTATGTGCGCATGCTGTTCGCTCCGTAGAAAGCCCCAAGGGCATCCAAAACGCTGAAGGCGCCCAGAATCCAAAATGGCGAATCTTGAACACAAAACCCCTCAACCGCTTCGCCCACAGCTTCACCAAATAAGCAAAGCCGTTTTAGCCCTAAGCCCTAAACCCTAAACCCCAAACCCTAAACCCTAAACCCCCTAAAAACTTGAGCAAAGTTCGTCTCGTCGGATCGCCGCCCGTTGCTTGGCAGAAGCGTCATGTCCACTGTGCCGTCCATGGAACCTCGAAGACAAGGGCTTCAGGGTGTGCTGTGCGGCTTCGGGTTTCGGGTTTCGGGTTTAGGGTTTAGGGTTTAGGGTTTAGGGTTGAGGGTTGAGGGTTGAGGGTTTAGGCTTTAGGGTTTAAGCAAGGACCAAGAACTTGTCTTTTTTGTAGGCTGCCTGAGAAGAGGATGGTCATGATAAGAGAACCAAACCCTTTTTGAGCAACGGACTTTAAAACCAAACCCTAAACCCTAAACCCTGAGCCCCAGAACGTAGGTTTGAAGGTTCTTCAGGCGGGCGTAGGATTGGGGAGGGCGCAGGATGCCCAAGAAGCTGATTCTCAGGGGGGCCGTTACCCGATGCCTCCCACACCCCAAGCCCTCTCTCCAGTGCAAAGAGGGTTCAGGGTTGAGGGTAACTCCTCAGCCCCTAAACCCTAAACCCTGAACCCTGAACCCTAGCCCTAAACCCTAAACCCCCAAATCCCAGGCCTGGTTCTGCCGTGCTCGCGGAAGGCCGCACGTCTGTGGTGCAGGCGGCGCCGATCTCAGGATGTCACCCACATCCAGCACCCGAAGCCCGAAACCCTAAACCCCAAAGGGTTTAGGGTTAGGGTTTAGGGTTGAGGGTTTAGGGTTCAGGGTTTCGGTTTGCATCCAGGGCCTGTGGAGGAGGACCCCTGAACTCCTGAACTCCTGAGCCCATATCAGCCCCTGAACACTGGAACCCCATCGTGTGCATCCGGGCTTGGCGTGCCAGCGGAGATGCAGCCCTAAACCCTAAACCCTAAACCCTAAGCCCTAAGCCCTAAACCCTAAACCCTAAACCCCCTAAAACCCGAAACCATGAGACCCAAGGGTGGCTTCTCAGCATCCAAGAGGATCTTGGGGTGAAGGGGGCTCCTGCTGTAAGAATCTAGAGTTTATGCAGCCCCGAGGGTTTCTTGCTGAAGTGGGATTCCGAAACCCTAAACCCTAAACCCTAAACCCTAAACCCTAAACCCTAAACCGAACATGATCCCTTGAGGCTTCCCCTCCTTTTCTTCGGCTCTCGCCCTCAAGCGTTGGGGAGAGGGGGGGGGGGGGGAGGAAAGGTCAAGGTCCTCTATAAGGTTTAGGGTAGGGTTAGGGTTTTAGGGTTTTAGGGTTTTTTGGTTTTAGGGTTTTAGGGTTTTAGGGTTTTAGGGTTTTAGGGTTTTAGGGTTTTAGGGTTTTAGGGTTTTAGGGTTTTAGGGTTTTAGGGTTTTAGGGTTTTAGGGTTTTAGGGTTTTAGGGTTTTAGGGGTTTAGGGTTTTAGGGTTTTAGGGTTTTAGGGTTTAGGGTGAAATCCAAAAAGTGTTCAAGACTCGTCGGGCTGTTTAACCAGGTGGAGAAATACTCATATTTGTGATGACGCATATTCTTGGTCAACTAAGCGGTCGACTTCAACAAGTTGCGTCATCAATGTAAATCAAAACGCCGCATTTGCAACGTAAAATAGATGTAAAGATGATATGTATGTGTAAGTAAACAAACAATTTTATCTAGGGAGACAAACGAACAACAAATACATACAGCTACCTCGAAAACATGTTTTCCGGGCGTCGTAACACTATTTGCATGGGGCTCCCTGTGGCTCTTGTCGGAAGCCTTCGACTAGAAACCCCTCAGCAAAACCCTTCCATCCAGAAATCTGGGAGGATCCAAACAGTAGATCCCCTGAAGGGCTCCTAAGAATGACCAAGAGTATGGGCCGCTACTTGAAGGGGGCATTCTACTTTTTAGATCCTCGCAAGGGTCTTGGAACTGGGATCCCTGGCTGTGTCTGGCATTTGGTTGGAGTTGTAGAGGTACATGGCCACCGCTTCCTCCAGGACCTGGGCGATTGGCTGCAGAAACCTCTTCGCCTGCCCACCAAGATGAAATCTCCGGCTGGGCCTTGTTTTGTAGCAGGGCAACCAAGGGGCCCCTAAGCCAGCAATCCCAAGAACCCAGGCCCCAAACCCCAGGCGCGGAAATCCCAGACACCCCAAGAGCACACAACCCTGCACCCTAAACCACAAAAACTCCAAACCCCGAGAACACTATAGGACACTAAGAACCCTCAGAACCCTCCAAACCCTCCAAACCCTAAACCCTAAACCCTAAACCCCGCCTGAACCCTTCCTCCCAGCTCGGAGATGGAGTCTTGCAGCCGCATCTTGTCCGTTTGGGCATCGGACTCCTGCCAAGCCGCAGGGATTAGGGTTTAGGGTTTAGTGTTTAAGGTTTAGTGCTTAGGGTTTAGAAATTCTAAACTGTATATTCCTTATTGGGTTTAAGTACCCTTAGCTTGTAAGATGTTCCCCAACTATGACAAAGACTCATCCAAAGCCCCCCTGGTTCTTAGTAGGGAGTACGGGAGATAGGGCCCTATATGTACCGTTTAAGGGATTAAATAGGGTACCTCATTCCCTGATTCCCCCCCCCCCCCCTCTACTAAGAACCAGCCAGAAAAGTAGCACTTGGGGGGTTTCCGAAATTAAGGGTGCCGGGGTCCGCTAGCCGGGAATCCTACTATTTTGGGGGGGGGGCTATTTTTGGGGCCCCCATTGGATTCAGGAACATTCCTTTAAACATATAGAGGGTTTCCTTCGCCTCAAACGATTTTAAGGGGTACAATCCTTAGTTAAGACCCCCAACAGTTTATTAGGCATCTGCCTTAGTGGCCCAGAAGAGACTGAGACTGAGACTGGCTGGCGACTTTTTGAGGAGCCGACGAGCGACCATCGTAACAGGCTGGGGTGTTGGATTCTGGCAACTCTCGGGTGTTCGCTGGACATTGACACTTGACGAATCACCACAAACATGAATTACACCTTTCTGAATGCCCTTGCTACTGTTCATATCTTCATTTTATTTGTACTAAACTTTATTACGATTATTCTACACATTAAGCTATAATACATATATATATATATGCATATTCTTTATAGTATACTATGAAAGCTGTAACACTGTATCACCGCAAGAAGCAAAGACCTTCTCGGCTCCAGAAATCGACCTTCAAGCCTTCCCTGAGCCCTCCAACAGCTCAGGAGCGGTGCGCCTGTAAGCCCACCATGTGCTCTATATACTGGCACACGTCTGACATCCTCAGGACCGGACGTTGAGGCTGCGGGCTAAGGGTTCAGGGTTTCAGGGTGTACCAAACAAGGGGACCCATATCCTAGAGAACTGGCCATATCGCGTCGAGGCCCCCGCGCTTTGCCCCGAGTCTTCCTCTCTTCTGCCAGCGCTTGAGTGAGCTGCTCCTCTAACTGGACGTGGAGGCCTCGACTTTCTTGGTCGCCCAGTAAGCACATTGTAATTAGGGTACCCCTTTTTGGGGTTGGTTACTTTATACTCGGGAACCTTGAACCAAACAAAGGGCAAAGGGTACCGGACTACCAACGCTTATACTTCACCCGGGAGATAAGGCATTCGAACCGGTAACCCGACAGCACCACCGAAGGCAAAGAGGACGTGAGAGTGTGGGAGTGGGAAGAGTCGGAGAGAGAGGAAGGAGAGGGAGAAAGAGAGAAAGAGAGAGAGAGAGAGAGAGAGAGAGAGAGAGAGAGAAAGAGAGAGAGGGAGCTAGCTAGTTAGCTAGCTAGCTTGTTGATTGGTTTGGTTGCTTGGTCGGCTAAGCACGGTGCACAGAGTGAGCAAGGTCACCAAGCTGTTTTCTGAAGCCGCTCTGGGGACCAGACCATCCACACGCAATCCTATCTCCTCGATGAATTGATCTGGCGCGGGGCGTCTTGAACATGCAGCATCACGCAGTTGCACAGCAGTGGTAACCTCTAACTTCAGGTACCCTGTAAATCAACATACCTCAATACGTCTGCAAGTGCAAGGTAACCTACTATGAGCCCTTTTGCCATTCATCCCTTTAGTTTCGCCTATGCGCCGCCACTTTCCCGATGGCGACGTCAGCAAGGAGTCTGCCTCTGCCTGGCGCATCTTTACAGTGCGTTTCGGTCTTCATGCTAAGGTTTGCGGCTCATTAGGGTTCAGGGGCTTTGGGGGAAACGCTAAAACCTAAACCCGAAACCCTAAACCCTAATCCTAAACCCTAAACCCCACACCTTTTTGATGGATTTTGGGGGGCTTAGGGGCTTCTAGGAGGCCCGAAAGGGATGTTTAGGGTGTAGGGCCGGATCTCCAGGTGACCTCCCGGACCCTGAACCATCCCCTCAAAGTGCTTCTCCCAGAAACTTTACGGAATATTCCTTAAATTATACTTGGATCCCTCAAATGATTTAAGGTATATTCCTTAATTAAGGGATACTGGAGTCTTTGGGCTCGTGCGTTTTAGGGTTCAGGGTGTCGCGGCTCCGGGGTTAGGGGTAGGGTTTTAGGGCTTAAGGCCCATCTAGGGTTGAATTTAGGGCAACATTAAACCCGAAACCCTAAAACCCTAAACCCTAAACCCTAAACCACGCAGCCATCCCAAGACCCTTCCGAGAGAGAAACCCAAGACTTGCAGGCGCCTGCAGGGTCGATGAAGCCGTCGAATCTATCCTGAGCATGGTTCTAAACCCTAAACCCTAAACCCTAAACCCTAAACCCTAAACCCTAAACCCTAAACCCTAAACCCTAAACCCTAAACCCTAAACCCTAAGCCCTAAGGTTTGGGTTGGGATTTTTCGGTTTTGGGGTTTAGAGTTTAGGGTTTAGGGTTTCGGGTTTGGGCTGGGATGTTCCCCGTCCGCTACTAGGGAGTATAGTAAGGGGTACTATACTCATTCCTATGAACGACGGTTAGTTTAAGGGGGAACATCCCAAGGTTTAGGGTTAGGGTTGAGCAGGGGTTAGGGTTTAGGGTTTGCAGGGGGCGGGTATCTGCGCTGCCTGATGGCGAAGGGGGTCCAAAGCGATGTTGTGTGCCTAGATACGCGCATGTTCCAAAACATGAATGTACGTAATATTATTTTGATTCGGTGGACAACAAAATATATTTCAGCATGCTGCTGCAGTCAACATGACATGTTTCGGCTGAGCATCTGATGAAACAGATATATGTACAAAGAGGCTTAACAAATACAAAATAATAACAAACACAAAAACAAGCCAGAAATACATACATACATACATACATACATACACATACATACATACATACATACATGTACATACATGATATATATATATATATATATAACATATGTATGTATAATGCACATATGTCCTTGGTAACTCCTCTTGTTTTGGCAACTCCTCCTCCCCCCATGTCTGAGGAGTCAGCGTGATGTTCTTTGACTGGAGCTCCTCCATCATGTCACGGCCTGATATGCCCAAAAGGTTCGGGTTCAGGGCTTACAGCGGGGTTTGGGGGTTTAGGGCTTTTTGGGTTTAGGGTTTAGCGTTTGGGGGTGTAGGGTGCTTTAGGGGTAGGGTGGTTTAGGGGTTGGGGTTTGTGCTTTATAGGGGTTTGCAGGGGTTTAGAAATGGGCAGAGGGGTTTAGGGTGGTTTTTGGCACCCGGCAAGCAGCAAGCCGCACAGCAGGGACGATTTTGGAGAGTTTATTGGTTTTAGGCAGCACTTTTTTGGTGGGAGCACTCCAGCCTAGTGCAGCATTAGTTAGCTTGCCGGGCATTGTTCACTACACAGATCTTCCAAAGCCCGGCATTCAGCAATTTGGTGGATCTGAATGTACGTGCAAAAGGAAAGCAAGCAAGCAACCCTACCACCCTACAAATAACACCCTACAACTAAAAAAAATCTCCTGCCCAGGTCCCTGCTACGAGTGCCCGATCAAAAGCCCCACAACCCGAGGCCCGCTAAACCCTAACCCTACATCCTAAACCCGTTGAACCCATGCTCTTTACGTCAGCTGCCTCGATGACAGCATAATTACACCGACAACGTCCAAGAAAATCCATTCAAATCCTTTTGCATCCAGGTCTTACGCCGGCCATTCCCTACCCTAAACCGTAGCCCTTGGTTGCTGAGTTCATCAGCCCCCCAAAAGTGTAAACTTTCAGCTTTTTAGGGGGTTCTAGTATCCCCAAGTGTACGCACTCAGCTACTAAGTAACCGCAAACCCCTAAACAGAAACCCGAAACCCGAAACCCTATGTGGAATCCGGGCTCGAGTCCACAGCCTTGAAACCCCAAACCCTAACCGACCGAGGAAGGAGCGGGCAGCTTCCAACACTGCCTGGACGCAAGGGGTTTTGGGGTTTTGGGTTCAGGGTTTAGGGTTTCGGGTTTAAGGTGTAGGGTTTAGGTTTTAGGGCTAGGGTTTAGGGTTTAGGGTTTATAGGGTTTCGGGGTTCAGGTCTCCGAGATAAAGGGTACCTTATTGGGGTTCTTATTATTTTTTGCGGTGGTACGAGTATCTATATTATTGAAAATGCATGACCCTTGCTAGGAATTCGAGTTCTTCTCAGCTTTCAGGAGCCTGCATGAGGAGCACCCTAAACCCTAAAACCTTAAACCCCAAACCTTCCGAACTCGAGTAGCTTCACGACAGCACACATGCGGGGCCAGGCGCGTCTTACCAGTACTTTCTGAAACGACCTGTTACCCTACTTCGGAGTAGACCCTGGAGAAAAAGTATATACATCTTAGGTAGAAGTAGCTAGAATAGGAACCCAGAACCAAAAACAAATGTATCAAAGCATAGTACTCCAACACCCAGGTTAGGCCTACTGATTCGCGGATCCTTCAAAAACGTTCTACCTCTTCTGCCCCACCCCTTTGTGCAACTGCCAGGGAAACCCTAAATCCCATCCCTAAACACAGCACCCTCCGGAGTACCTCTTGCAATCTCTTGAAAAATTAGCACACGCGCGAACAGTAAAATCTGCACGTCTTTGCTGAAAAAACTTTTTGCAAGTTCCGACGCAACAGAAGCACCTCTGATTCTTAAACCCTCAACCCTCAACCCTATAAACCCCCCTAAACCCTAAACCCTAAACCCTAAACCCTAAACCCGAAACCCTAAACCCTAAACCCTAAACCCTAAACCCTAAACCCTATACCCTCAAGCCAAGGTGTGGCACCCCAAAGGCATCACATTGAGCACTGCCCGCCTGGTGACTTGCTTGTTGCTCCCGGCGTAGGCGATGTTCCATGGAGTTCAACATCGCGCCCTCAATTCCAAGATGTAGCAAGCTGTCTGGAGAGCTGGGTTTAGGGTTAAGGGTTTAGGGTTTCGGGTTTCGGGTTTAGGGTCTAGGGTCTAGGGTTTACAGTTTAGGGTTTAGGGGCACACCCCTCCTGTTGTGTTCTGGAGGCAGCAGTGCAACAGTGAACCCGCACGGTGTCGTGACGCACAGGCCTCCTTGAACCAAACCCCAAACCCAAGAGCAATCAACTCCCATACCCCAAACCCCAAACCCCAAACCCGTACACCCTGAACCCCTCATGGATGTGTAGGGTTTAGGGGGTTTGGGAGGCCCAAAAGGGACCTACGCCCTAAACCCTAGGCAGCCCAAAACCCCCAAACAGCTAGCGAAGTCACGAACTGGTCTGTGAGGGCCGTCGCCTCCTGCAAGGCATGCTGTCCAGAGCTTTTTGCTTTACAGCTTCCAGGGTTTAAGGCTTGAGGCTTTATGGGGTCTAGGGTTTCGGGTTGAGGGTTTGCGGTTTTGGGTTTTATGAGGTTTGGGGCTTTCGGGTTTGTAGGGCTTAGGGTTGAGAGCTGTCACTGTCGTGTTGATACACCCCAAACCCAAAACCCAAAACCCTAAGCCCTTGATACTGTAGGGTTTAGCATGGGCTCTCTTGGAGGTTTACTCCGGGCTCCCTGTGAAATCTTCCATTCAAGGGTTCCTGAACCATGCGATTCAGGTTTTAGGGCTTGGAGGGTTCACCCGAACCCTAAACCCTAAACCCTAAACCCTGAACCCTGAACCCTGAACCCTTAACATCCCTGAGCCCCCAAACCCTGAATCTGCAAATGCTCAGCAAGCCACTTCAAGTCCAGATTCGGCTCACGACTCACCCGAACCCCAGACGTGCAGGACTAGAATGATGGGAATTCGCGGGTTTTGGGTTTAAGGGTTTAGGGCTTTTAGAGTGGTGTTCAGGGCTTCAGGGTTTAGGGCTTTAGGGTAAAGAAGCCCTGAACCCTAAACCCTAAACCCTAAACCCTAAACCCCAAACCCTAAACCAGCCATCAGTCTAAGCCTGACCCCTCAGCCCAAAAAAGCGGACTCACAAGCGTTCCTGGCGCACTTCGTCTTTGACCTGGGCCCGCAGCTGATCCATGGCCAAGAAGCCTTGGTTTGAAAAACGCGGTTTAGGGTTTAGGGTTTTAGGGTTTATTAGGGTTTAGGGTAACGCGGTTTAGGGATTAAGTTTAGGGTTTAAGGTTGGAATTTTAATTCCTTCCCCCTAATACTAAATTCCGTCCCCCCCCCCTGCCTAATTCTGACATTCGCCTGGGCCCGAAAAATATTTAAAATTAGGGGGGGTCTAAATCCTAAAACCTGAATTCCGAAACCTAATAATTAAACCCTCCAAGCCCTGAGCCCTTGATCCTAATCCTGTCAGCCTTCAGCCCTAAACCTTGAAATCCTAATGGCTCAACTAAGGGCGAAGGCCCTGAACCCCTCCCCCTAATTCTCAAACAGGTTTCGTATTGGGCTGGGTGCCGGCAGGGTCCGGGAAAAATAATATTAAAATTCGAGACCGGGACGCTGTGGGAGTGCACTTTTTCCATTTGTTTAAAGATATTTAAACCCGTAGGAACCCTATTTTGAATTAGTCGGAGCCGTAAAGTCAATAGGAAGCCTCTTAAAATGAATTGGAGGCCCCTCACAAAAAAAGAGAATCCTCGTAGAACGAATAGGAATCCCATTAAACTGAAGAGGGACCCTACTACAATTCATACGAACCAATCGGACTCATATAAAAAATAATGTGAACCCTTAGAAAAATAATCAGAATCCTATTAAAAAAGAATGAGCCTAAAACCAATAGGAACCCCCTATAAAAATGAATGAGATGTTTATCTATATATATATATATACGAATCCCATTAACATGAACAAGAATCTGATTAAAATTGATAGGAATCTTATTGCATGAGTAGGAGCCTTTTTCAAATAACTAGGAACCCTATGAAACTCTATTGGAATCCTATGAAAATGAATAGGAATCCTCGATTGAATTATCGGAACCGGATAAGAGTTAATAGGACGGAAGCATATTAAAATAAATAGGAACCCTTGACAAATCAAAAAGAACCCGGGTTACAATTCACAGGAATCCTATTAAAAGAGAAGGAATCTTACTAAGTCTTACTAAAATGAATAGGAACCAATAGGCCTGAAAAACAATAGAATCCTTTAACAAGAACTAATAGGAATCCTACTAAATTAATATGAGCCTAATCCTTAAAATTAATTAAAAACCTTTGCGATTCCCAGTAACATGAATAAGAACCCTGCTTAAATTGATAGGAACCTTCTAAAATTGGTAGGAGCCTTAGGGCGTGATGTCTGAAAATATGTTGCTAAGGTACAGTGTTTAGTACAGATATTAGGTTTTGCTTATTGGGGGATGATTGCTTGTGATATCCTAAGGTATAGTTTTTAGGATACATGTCATGTTTTGCGTATTGGGGCGTGATTGATTATATGGAGGTGTTGGTACTCTCTCGAGATTTTGCAGTATTCGAGTTTGTTTTTTGGTACCTCCTCGAGAAATGGTGGCTGGGAGAGAGCCTCAGATCATGAAATTCATGGAAAACATTGGTTTTACCAATGCTGTTGAAGGATGGAGCCGAAAAACATTGGTAAAACCGACGATTTCCAAAAAACCCATGGTTTTCAAACCATGTGGCTGCGAGGACGAAATTCATGGATAACATTGGTTTTACCAATGTTTTTGAAGGATGGAGCCGAAAAACATCGGTAAAACCAATATTTTCAAACAATCCATGCTTTTCAAACCATGTGGCTGGGAGCACGAAATTCATGGATAATATATCAATGTTGTTCAAAAGAGAAACACATAATGCGGTGTCCTTGATTGTCCATGTTAGCGCTTTCGTCACGTACAAAAGGGCACTCAGAAATATAAAGTCACACACAACACACAAATACAAAAAACAACTGTACAAAAAAAGCGTACAAAAATGAAATAACACCAAAAAGTCTAAAGAAAACCCAAAAACACCCTTCAGAAGACACCGAAAAACCATACAAAAGAAAACAATACAGAAGACTCTCCAATGGCACACAAAAATCCTCAAGAACCAAAAAACCCAGAAAATCAGAAAAACCAAAACAACCAATCCTGAGAGACTCTTCCCAGGGGTCCGGCTCCCCAACAGAGTCCCTCAGGATTGTTTTTTAAGGTTTTTTTGCTTTGTTGGGTATTTTTTGGGTTTTCTTGCACAAGAATCCCCAAAAAACCAAAAGAACCAAAAAACCAATCCTGAGAGACTCTTCCCAGGGGTCCGGCTCCCGAACAGAGTCCCTCAGGATTGGTTTTTTTGGTTTTTTTGGTTTTCTTGCACAAGAACCCCCAAAAAACCAAAAAAAACAAAACAACCAATCCTGAGAGACTCTTCCCAGGGGTCCGGCTCCCCAACAGAGTCCCTCAGGATTGTTTTTTTTGGTTTTCTTGGTTTTCTTGTTGTTTTGTGTTTTTTTGGTTTTTGTGGGATTTGTTGTGTATTATTTATTGTTGCACGTTTTCGTGTGTTTTTTAAGGATGTTTGAAACGTTTTGCGCGCTTATTTTTGTGAAAAAGTGCACTCCCCCGGCGTCCCATTTTCTAAAAAAAGGGTGGGTTTAGTGGGTGTGAGAGGTTGAGGCAAATTCATGTTTGGGATTTAAGGGCAAGATGGAGGTCGAAGAACATGAGCCGTGGAGGACAAGCTGCATTTCCCTAGGGTTTAGGGTTTAGGGTTTTGGGTTTAGGGGCTAGGGTTTTGGGTTGCCCGAGAAGCTTACACAGATCGCAAAAAAACGCACCTGGACAAGCAGAGGCACATTTGGCTGTCTCGTTCTTCACGACCTGCCAGCATTGAGCCCCATTGCATTTTCAACAGCCCTTGCTTAGCGAGTTGTAATGACAAGGGGCTTTCGCATTTCTGAGATCACCCAAACCAAAGGCTCGGAATTCTAAGAACTGCTGAGCAAATCCCTTGTGCAGCGCCCTTTGGGGTTTGGGGTTTAGGGTGGGCTTCTGAGCTCTTGCTGCCCTGAAACTCGAAGCTTTTGAAACCCGTTGAAATCCTGGACTGCAATTCTCTGGGCTTGCGAAAGGTGCCTAAGACACCTACCTCTGAGGGCGGTGCGTTTGTTCTCTCTCTTTGTTTGGGAGTTTAAGGTTTAGGGTTTAAACGGTTTAGGCTTTAATGGCTTCACGCATCTTTAAGCCTTTAGAGTTTTTCCCTACAGTACGATCCTGCACAGGTGCCGAATGGAAAGCAACACCCCAAAAAAAACACAGGGAGACACACCCACACAAAGACACAAAGGCGCAAGCAAACACAATCCCCCCCGAAGAGTTCCATATATTTTGGAAGACCATTAAGAAACCTCACCTTGCAGAGACCCGTAACAAAACGCACCTTGCAGGGTTTGGAAAAACTTTTCGGAAGAGGCGAGCCTGGCTGAGGTTCTCGAGTTGTCGTTCGGATGCTTCCGCCCACCACTGCCTCTCTGCCTGCACGGTCATGGACAAATTCGCCGGCTCAAAGGTCGAACGCTACAACATGTAAGTAAATGCACTTAAGTGCAATTTCGGTTCTGCCCACACACATTGTTTTCCACAGCTCTGATTAAACGATCGCAAGCGGCATAGATCTTGAAGAATACTTGTAGGATCACGTCCTGATGAGCCACGACTTGGCCGAGTGGGTTGGAAGAAAGCAAACCCCCCCCCCAAAAAAAAAAAAAAAAAATATATATATATATATATATACATATATATGTGTTTATATATATATATATATATATATGCAAGGCCTCGATGGCGGCTGTCGGCGACGCGGACACTGGGGATCCAAACACTGCGTTGCTGCCTCAAACAACAAGCAAGACATCGGGCCCTCCAAAGTGCCCTGTGCATCCCTGAGCCCTAAACCCTAAACCCTAAACCCTCAAGCCTCACGCCTCAAGCCTCAACCCTAAGCCCTAAACCCTAAGCAGCCGAGATGCGCCGGCTTGTGTTGGAATCGTGCGGTGAGCCGCCCCCGGCCATGGGAAGTGACATTGCAGCTGCGTGTGACTGCAACGCACGCTCCGTGCATCGTTGTGCCTCCGTCGGGGACATCGCCTCAAACCTCATTTGGAGTAGCTGTTGCCGGTGGGCACGGAATGGCGAGCTCACAGGCTCCGTTTGCTCGAGGATGTCCGCCTTCTCATCCGTCCCAGCCTGCAAAAAAGCACCGTGCTTGCACAATGCCACTTGAGCTTCGGCATGCAACAAAACATAACACATTGTGTCAAATAACGCTGAGGGTAAGGCAGCGGTCTTCCCCAAGCCAGGGATATATGGCAACATTGTCCGTCCCTGCTTGGGTCCAGAATGCCCCTCACATCTTATAACACGGAGCCAGAGGCGCTGCGAAGAATGCGACATTTGTGTGATGCGGAGGCTTATATGGTTCATCTTTGATGGAAGAACAGCCCCCCCCCCCCCCCACAAAAAAACAAAAACAACAACAACACATATCCCAAGAAGAACAAAGCTTCCTTTGATGATTCCCACGCAAGGATTCGTTGGGGCACGGGCTTACAATGTCTATACACTCTTTTGTTTTTTTCCTCGCTCCTTTTTGCACTGGAGGCCTTGAAACATTTTGAAGCTGCGTCACACATCCCCAACATGTTGTATGTACTCTCTTCGACATTGCAAAGCTCGCTTGGTGCCGGAGCGTTCCTGACTTTGCACCGCGCGGGCGTATCAGGCAGGCTTCCAGTGATGTAGTGACGAAGTGCGAAGCGGTCCATTTTGAAACATCAAAGTTTGAACTGTGGAATGTTGAGCACGGTTTTTGGCACCCTGGCATATCTTAATGTTACTCAAAGAACAGCATAGTGCCCTGGGGCCATACAAGGACAGATTTGAGGCTGCGCCGCATGGGGCCACCTGGGACACTTGGGGACAAGATTCGCAACCGGGGAGGTTCGATTGGAAATGCTGCGTGGCATGCCGGTGAAAGCCATGGAACTGACATATGGAAAATGCTCAGGCAGCACCCGAGCGTCCCCCATGTTACTGGCTAAGGCGGCTAAGGGGCGTGGCAATCGCACCAAGCGCAACTCGCTGTGGCAGAGCTGTTGACTTGCGGCAAGGCGTTGAGAGAAGGTAACTTGGCGCGAGCTGGACGGACGTGCCTTCCTGCGAGCACGTAATGCGAGGAGCCTGCCCGCCTGACCGACCTGAAGGGACCGCCGAGCCCGGTGAATGGGGGCATGGGTGGCAACACCGCGCGTCGCGCACACGGAACCAAGCGTAAAAACTTGCTGATAACAAGCAACCTAACCACTTGTGCGTTGTTGCCCGGTCCAGATGATCTACAGTCTAAACCTTCCGGGTCGTCAAAGTGTGTCGAGTTTGAGTTTCAGTTCTGAGCGATTGCTTGTCTGTGTGCAGCCTTTTCTGGCGTGAAGGGTTTAGGATAGGAACTGTGGGTTTCCGGTCTGCCAAGTCCCTCCCGAGTCGCAGCACCGGGTGTTGAAGCGGGAAAGCAGGTATGCCGTCGAAGCAAAACAGCGGTTGCAGAAGCTTGGGCCAAAAGAACCAAAACCTGCTGCGCGCACCTAGCGCGCACATACGGATATATTTTTCGGCCAGCACACATTGGTCTTGTTCTGCTTGCACAGACATGTTCGTGCGCGCATGCTTCCTGGCGCTATGTACCTTCCTGGGCGGGAAACATTCTTGTGTCTCCGCGCCATGGGCTGCATGCGCACACACGGATATCTTTTTTTTTTTTTTTTTTTTTTTTTTTTTTTTTTTTTCGCGCCTTTTTCAGGCTCCTGTGATGTCCGTGCCTTCAAGCTATACGGCAGCATCGGCAAGCCGACTCGCCCCAGCGCACGGCGAGGTCCCAGAACCTTTCCGGCTGCGCCGGCTCCCGGTCCCGCTGCGGCTGGTTGGCACGCGCCCTGTCCGAGGGCCGTGCCGCGACGGCCTGATGGACTGCGAATGGTGATGATGCCTTGCCTCGCCCAAGCGCACCCAGCAGCCGCACCCAGCCGCAGCGATGCGAACAGCTGGCGGCGAGCGTTGCGCGCGGAGGGGGCGAATCCGCAGGAAGCGGACGCTGCGAGTTCCATCGGCCGCCAACCTCTGATCCAGCACGACCAGGCGCTGTGGCCCGCCACATGTGAGTTCGGGGTAAGCCGTCTGCTTGCGGCGCTCCGCGACCTGTAGCGCCGCGCCGTCGTCTGTATCCCCGCGCGGCTGTGGGTGACCTGCGCGGGTCAGCGGCGACACAAGCGTGGCGTCGCAGCAGAGCGCTCCCCCGTTGGTTGTGGCTCCGTAAACGACCATGTCCAGGCGCCTACGGTCATCTGGGCGTACTCCTGGGGCCGTCGTGTGGGCGAGCCATTGTTGTGGCACGACTTGGCCTTCGGGTCCGACTGCTTCCCTAGCCACGCGGAGCCACGCCCGTTCGACCACTTTTGCCCGTCTGGCCAGCAGTCCTGTCCGAGGACAGGCCAGCGCATGGTCCCCCAGTGCGTCGACCTCTAGGCCGCACCCCGGGTTTGGGCCGCACCGGTGGAGGCTCAGGGGCAGGGGTAGCCGCAAGCGACGGCGCAAAGCCAGGAGCATGGCCTGCGGAGTCAAGGTCGTGCTTGGCTCGCCTGGTATGGCTGAAAGCCAGGCCCCCGCGTGCGGCCCAGCCTGGGAGCGGAGCATGGCTCGGGAGCTTGGTGGCATGGCCGGCAATAGCACGCGACTGCGAAAGTGTAGGTTGCGAGTCCGCGTCGCGTGAAATTGCCAGCCGTGCGGCCAGTCCCCCGGGCCTGCGTCTGTCGGGCGGGCGGGCCGCTCGCCTTCCAGGATGGCTTCCCAAGTGGGGCAGCTGTTCCACCCTTCGTCTATCAAAAGCTTGCGGGCCTCATCCGCCTCGCAGAAGCATGGGGCAGCGTCTTCTCCTCGTCCCAGCTCTCGGAGGTAGCGGTTAGCCCACTCCGGGAGTCGCGTTTGGATGACGGGGAGTGCATCGGCCCACGCGGCCCAGTAAGCGGCAGCAGCCGTCCGCGCGGCCGACTGCAATCCAAGGCCCCCGTGCGCCGCCGGAAGTGTGGCTATTTCCCAGGCATGCGCGGCTTTCTGCGCCGGAACCCCTCCCAGACATGCCTGCAGAGTCGTCCACATAGCCTCATCATGGGCATTGGCGTAAGCGGCGGACTGGGATGGAGGCATAGTGCGGATGGCGTGGTTTGCCCGCGGGGACGCGCACATGTGCAGGAGCAACCAGGCGCACTGGAGGTCCGGCAGCTGCGGCAGGTGGTCTAGCAGTTGCCGTTCCGTGCGTATGCGTTCGTCTGCCCATGAGCGGATGAAATCCGGATGGCCAATGGGCGAGCCCAGAACGACCACGCCCCGTTCGGCAGTTGGCTTATCGGCCCGCCAAACATCGTCGCCGAGTTCGGCGATGCCCGGTGGCGGTGGTCCTGGCTCGGAGGCTATGGCGCGGGTCTTGCCGAGATTCGATGCTATGCCTCACGAAGGGAAGCAACTCCGGGGCCACCTGGCGCAGCTTCCCCAGGAAGGCCGCGCGAGACATACAATCATACGCGCTGCGGCCGTCGAGGGAGACCACGACGGCGTCCGGTCGCGTCGCGAGGGCGGCGCGAATGTGTGCAGCCAGTGCGTCCGTCCCGGCTCGTGCCTGTAGCGCGAATTGGTAAGGGCGGGTGGCTTGGTCGAATGTCTGCGCCCACTCCTTGGCGAGCGTGCGGGAAACGAGGCGCCGGAAAACGTCGCCCGTTGCTATGCCCCGAACACCGCCATCCGGTTTACGCAAAGCCGTGACTCGTGCCATGGCCAGGGCGCGTGCGACGGCTGCGGGGAGTCGAGCCTGTGCCAATTTTGTGGCGGCTTCGGCGAGGAGTTCCATGGCCGGGACATCCTGGATGAGGACTTTGAGATGCTCCGCCCGCATACCCGAAAGCCCCGGTGCCCCACCCCGGCGCGCCTCGCGCAAAGCGGAAGCCAAGGCTCGGACGCTGAGGAGGGGAAGCTCTGCTGGATGGAAGTCGAGCAACTCTTGCGGGACCGCGGTGCGAGGCACTGCGGGGCGGCGAGCCGGGTCGGTCAGTGCGGCCCATGTAGCATCGTCGCCCGGCGCTATCTCGGCCGCAGTCAGCACCTGGCGTGCACGCGAGACCTCACCTTTGCGAACCTTAGCACAGGCCAATTCGCGTTTGCGCTCGACCACTTCCTCCGGCGAGAGGAGTGTTTCTTGCCCGCCGGAGGGGGTATGGTGCCGGGCTGATTGGAGCAAGGACTGCCATGCTCCGCGCTGGAAAGCCTCGGCTCGGCCCAACAGCTCCGCCCGCCCCTGCGCGCCTCGCTGCTTCGGGCGTGCGAGCAGCATGCGCGGCGCGAGCAGGAACAGTTTCCACGCGCGGGACCTGGCTGCTTCGTCGTGCGAGTCTCGCTCGGTCTCGGCGTGGAGCCGGGCTAAAGCGTGCATCAGCGCTCCCCGCAGCGCA